TAAGCAAAACAAGGAAGAATTTTAAATTATCAATGACCAATTTAGCTGGCTCCCTGGAATGACATACTTTACATGATTCATATATATTTCAGCATCATTATTATTTTATAAATGCCATTTGGTAACAAAAATACATCAGTACTAGAAATTTACAGTGTCCTAAAATAATAATAGGGTAATTGCTTTAATCTATTATCTAGGCACTAATGTTGTTTTTCAACCTTACCAAAAAAAAATTTAATGACTTAAGATTGATTTGTTAGTGCTGAGCTATTTCAACTAAAAACCTGACTGGGTGGAAACCAATGAAGTGCAGCAGAGGGCAGACTTTGCTCTAATTTATTTGAGTAATTTTTTTCTTTAGCTTTTTATATACCTTTCTATATATAGTCCAAACCATCACCAAAGAATTTCCTTACAAAGGATTCTTATTAATAATGAGAAGACTTAAGAGTATTAGGCTTCTATTTTAAATAATTCAATAATTCAGTCTATGTCTATCTGCAATGGAAAATTTTGCTAAGATGAACATTTCTGAGAGATTATTAACCAAATGCCTTTTCTTGGTACACTATCTTCATGATAACAATGCAATCCTAAAACCTCTTCAAGAGAAGTAATAAAAGTGTAGAAGTAAGTGAGAAAATAGAAAAACTACTTGCTTGTGAAGTAAAAATATGAAGAAACTAGGAAAATTAGTGATAATTTTATGGAAGAATAAATGATTATCTTTCTTTAACTTGCGTTAATTCCTAGTAAAGGGTGTTGATTTTTCTGCTTATTCAGGGGAAACAAAGGTAATCTGATCACATTAAGACTTGTTGTTTGGATACTGGCTGTGAAGTCAGGGTGTCAGGTGGAGAGACCTCAACAGCTTGTATCTTCAATTCCTAGATGCGTTAAGCAAGAGGGTGACTGATACTGACTACTGACTAACAGTCAAAACAATCTTCATCTTCTTCTTAATTCCTTTCCAAAATCACCTGTCAATTAATTTGGAACATTTGTTGATTCACAATCAAACCACCCTAATACTGGATATTACTGTTAGTGATTATAGTATTCCTTTGCCAGAAATGAACGGGAAAGGTAAAATTAGTAACATGATTGGTTATCATTTACAACCCAGAAATTTCTTCCCAAGAAAAATTTAGTTTTCTTCTGCTATGGAGACTTTATTAAGTTATTTTTGTTGTTTGCTTTTTGTGTCCTTTTTTTATACTTAAAAAAAAATACTAGTTTGGTTTTAAAGACCACTAGTTTAGTAAGACACTAGTCTCTTCTTGAAAACACGAGATTTCGGATAACGAATTTGATCATTCAGCAGTTGGATACAAGTTATTTAACTACTGTCTCCTCAGTTCATTTATTTTGAGGTTCATGTGACAATGTGGTTTCAACATTAAACAGGAGCCACTTAAATATTTACATTTACGGAGCACCTACTCTGGGCCCAGCTCTGGGCCAGTTCAGAAGACACTGCTTCTAGCCACAAGATGCTCTTCTCCAGAACAGATTTCTCCTGCATGCCATGGGTCTCACTAATTGTGTAAGACTTTCCAGTTCCCGAATCTCTCCGTTCTCCCAGATCCCTTTGGTCAGCTCACAAGTATTTACTGAGTGGCTCCTGCATCCTCGACATTGTACCAGGGCATGGGGGATTATATGAAAAGTATACACCTTGCCTTTATAGAGTTTGGACGGACAAGATTGAAAGATTTGGAACAACAGGATGGAACAGCAGGGGACACTACTTCACCGTGTTTAATCTTGAGGCACTAGTTAAAAGGAGCACAAGTGTGGAAGGCGGGGTGTGGAACCACTGTTAGCTGGCCTAGTCAGGGTGGGCTGTGGAGCAGATTGGTGCATCTGTACTGTCTGCTGAGCACCTACTATGTGCCAGATACTGCACCAGGTGCTTTATATATATTCTTTCATTTCATACTCTCCAAAACTCTGTGCCCCAGGAGACTTTATTCCCCATTTTACAGATGAAGAAAGCAATGCTTAGAAAGGTTAAATAATATGCCCAGGCTCCTAGAAAGCTGAGCAAGCATTTAATCAGTCTATGCTCTGTATCCTCTGCTAAACTGAACAGAGGAGTCTTAAAATCTCTTCTCAGCCCTACTTGACCAAGGAAACATTTTACAGTGCTCCCTCCTCCAACCTTCCCTGGGCACCTGGTCTGCATGTGTCTTGTGTCCACCACCCTCCACCATGTTTTACAGCTGTTTGTACATGTGAAATGGTTGCTCCTCACAGGCAGCATCTCAGCTGCTTTGACTCTGGTATCTCCTTCCATGTCTAGCCAAGTGCTTTGCCCCTACTGATCAGTCAGTTATTTTACAGAAATGAATGGGTGACTCCACCGGCTGCTGGTTTCCTGTACATACTCCCTAAAATATTCTGCAGCCTGGAGTGGGGGTAATCTCTTCTCACTATTCCATTCGGATGGGATATTTAATTAGGATTTCTTTCTATGCACATAATAAGAAGCACATCTTGAGAAGGAGAACAGTTAAATTAAGATAGCATTTCCTTTAAACCAAGAATCACTAGATGTCCTATTTAAGCAATATACTCCTCTTTGGGAATGGAGAAAGGAAAAGGTTGCTTTCCTGAAATAATCATTGCTGTGGTCATAATCAGACCATTTATTTGGACAGAACATTCCCTGAATTGGCCTTGCCAAGTCCAGGCAGCATAAGAAATTGCAATTTCATCAGCTTTCGAAAGTTAACAGTTCTGTTTTATAATTTACTAAAGTTAATGGAATAAATTTTTAAATCACTATGCAAATCCCATTGATATTAATAGGAGTTCTGGAGCTAAATCCCTATGTATTATTTGAAAGTACACTTCCATGGTACCTCACAGCCCTCCTTCTGAAGGAATCATTGTGTCTGTTTTTTTGGTGGTGGTGTTATTTATCTTTTCTTTAGAGAAATGCTAAAGGACAAAAAAGCCACTTAAATTGCTAAGATCTGTACAAAACCAATCTAAATTAACTTGAATGTGGCTTTTGGATATGCTCTTTATTTTAAACTGTGCAACATCAATCTGATACCAGAGTTCGTAATGTCTTTTACCTTTATACCAGTAATTAACATTGTGCCTGTTATTTTTAGATGCCAACGTAAGCGTCATCTACATCTGCTCCCATCGAATGAATGACGAGTTGCTGCTGTATTACAATAAAATCCTGAGTCTACAGGCAGCTGTCAAATCAGGGAATCTTAAGGACAGAAGTGACCTGCGGGACAGGTTCAAAATTATCACCCCTGAAGCTATAAGCATCTTCACTGTGAGTTTGTCTTCTAATTACTATGGCTTCCGGGATGCAGTAAAATTAAATTGGAAATTTTACAACTTGCAACGTCCTGGTGCACGTCAGTGAAATATTATTGCAGGTTTAACAGTTTTACTGATTAGACTACAGGTCGGACGATAGGAAATAAATATCCCAGTTTAACTTGCAGACTTAGCTGAGCTACTGCTGCCCAGTTTCTCTGTAGCTGAAGCCTAATTGTAGTTATTGGGTTGTACCATTAACTAGGTGAATTTATAACATCTACGGTTGCTTTTTCTTAATTTTGTGTGGAGAACACCGAGGCACAGAAAGGCTGGGGCTGCCTGTGGTCACAAGGCTAGTTAAGGACAGAATCTAGACCAGGGCCCCTGTTTTCTGATTTCCACACTGGTATTCCTTGTTATTCCATGGGGTTTTTGTCCCTCAGGGGAATTTGGTCTTATTTACCATATCACATGGTTCATAATGAACAAGGTTCAGATTTTTTTTAAACTTTTTTAGAACTGATTCTTAATGAATGGAACGAATTCTGAGTTGAATCTCATCCCTAGAGAAGAACTTCTGGGAGATTCATAGAACCATGGGGCACGTTCTAGAATAAGGTAGTGCAAGAGATGGCTTGAAATGAATTTCTCTATATTTTAACAAGAATTTAAGCTTTCCATGGTAAACAATCAACATTTTAATACCTAATGGAGGACTTCCCTGGTGGCGCAGTGGTTAAGAATCCACCTGCCAATGCAGAGGGCACAGGTTCAATCCCTGGTCTGGGAAGATTCCACATGCCTCAGAGCAAGTAAGCTTGTGCACCACAACTACTAAGCCTGCACTCTAGAGCCCGCAAGTCACAACTACTGAGCCCGTGTGCCACAACTACTGAAGCCCATGTGCCTAGAGCCCGTGCTCCACAACAAGAGAAGCCATCACAATGAGAAGCCCACGCACCACAATGAAGAGTATCCCCCACTAGACGCAACTAGAGAAGGACCGCGCGCAGCAACGAAGACCCAACACAGCCATAAATTAATTAATTAAATCTTAAAAAAAAAAATAAGAAAGCAGACAAATCATCACCACTTACTTATAATCTTAGAAACTCCCCAATATCCTCCACCAGTGCAAGGATTGCTTTGGTGCTTCCCAGCTATTCCCTGGCTTCAATGTCAGAGTTACTGTGGATATTGGGAAGCAAGGAACTATCATTAGCGTGTGGTAAATTTCCTGATATTCTCCAGCCAGAAACTGGAGCTAATGCCTGGTAGCTGCTAATAAACAGTTTCTGCATATCTGAAATGCCAATATACATTGAAGAGGCATGGAATGGGGAAGGGGCACTAGATTTGGGAAAAGGAAAGTGAGTAAACAGCTAACATTTATCAAATGCTTAGCATACATTTTCTCATTTGATACTTAGAACACAGCAGCAAGACAGAAATTATCAATTTCCTTCTTTGGCTAAGGAAACCAACACTCATCTTCTAATCCCAAGTTACTAGTGGGGACAGAGTATGAAGCCAAATCTGTCTGACCCCAGAACCCTATCCTGATCTGGAATGACAGCCTTGCTCCTGGATGACCTTGTGGCCTTGGGCAAGCCCCTTTACCTCTCTGGTCCTCTGTTATTCATCTGTAAAATGAGGTGATAGATTAGATCATTTCAAAGTCCTTTCCAGCTCTGCAGTCCTATTACCTGAGAAGTGAATCCTCACCGTCCACTCTTCACCTTCTAAGAGGAGATAGGCAGTTGGTACTAACAGATGCGCGGGGTTACATTCATAGTGTAGGTTTGCATCTCTGTGAATAGAAACAATTAGGAAATATTTTTAAGTACTTAATACTTCTCATAGTTTAAGTTTAAATTATTTGAGTAATTAATCACTCATAGGCAATCACCTCTCTAAAATACAAAAAGTAAACTCTTTCAAATCATTTCCTGCTCGTGTTTAGTTACGGCTTTATTTCTTTTTAATGGGTTTGAGAGATTGCATCAGTGCTGACTTTCTTTCAAATGCATGGCCTTGAGGAGATTTTTTTAAAGTGTGCCAAAAATCTGTTTTTACATCTCTCCAAGTTACTCTACAATGTTTGAATTTGTAATGGTGAAAATGCTGTTATAAAGTCATCGTGTATGTCTATTTTTGAACATTTTAATGTTTATGAAGACATCCTAAGCAACTACCTTTTGTCTCAGGTGAAAAAAAAATTAGTGGTGATAAATTAAATGTCGCTATAATGTTATGGAATTAGGAACATTTTAGATTTTTGTCATCTGTGTTAATCCACAGCCTGGATCTGATGATACTGATTTTCTCTAAATGGTCACACAAGACCTGCAGTCAGTAATGTGTCCTCTGCCATCACTTACATTCAAATCTTTATTAAACACACGTTGAACACAATACTGTGGTACCATCTTGCCTGAAGAATAAGGCATGCCCAGAGATGACATAATAGAGTTGCGTAGAATACTTGCCAAGAGAGATAAACAACCCTAGAGCAGACAGAAATCCATTCCGGCCAGAAATGTGCAACTTTAACGTTAGGTTCTATTGCTGCATCTACCAGCCCCTCATCACACTTCATAAAACTACCAGACCTCACTACTCAATCTGTAAAATGGGAGAAATCATGGCATCTATGGCATGAGAACTGTGCTAATACTGAACTTGAATCCTGCCTCTGCTATTTACCAGCTGTGTGACTATGGGCAAATCACCTGAGCCTCAGTTTCCTCGTCTCCAAAACAGGGACTGTTAATTGGTACAGTGTTGTATGGATCAAAGGAAAGAGTACTTAACACGAGAGGATTGCCCCCTTTGAAACATTCTTCTAGGTACCCTGAAAAGCCTACCACATACTTTGTGACTCAAGTCACCAGTTCTACAAGACACATCATTTTTTCACATTTTCTCATTGGAATAATTTGTAGGGAAAGGAAAGGAGTGAACTAAACAAGGGGGATAAACAGTGATCAATTAGATGGGAAACACAAACTCACGAGTTGCTGTCACCAGCCATTGTCTAATGGAACACCGGATTTCCTAGAGCTGCATTCTCGGAAGCAGGTTTTTGAAAATGGATTTAAATTAAGCAAAGGCATACTGCATACACCTAAAGAGCTTAGAATATAACCCTTGCTCTGAAGGAAGGGTTCAACAGGGTAAATCATAAAATCCTCTTCTCAGAGGAGGTTTTTATTTTGTCTTTTGGCGGGGGGGGGAGGCGGAATATACATAACATAAAATTTACCATTTAAATCATTTTAAGTGTACAGTTCAATGAATTAATTACATTCACATTGTTGTGCAATCATCATATCATCCATTTTCAAAACCTTTTCGACACCCCAAGCAGAAACTCTGTCCTCATTAAACAGTATGTCCAGAAGAGCTTTGGTTTTAAAGGGAACATTGTATCACAGCTGGAAGGACCCTAGAGATTTCTAGTTCAACCCCTCATTTGAATGTGGGGAACCAAGGCTCAGAAAGATAGTTTTCTAAATCAACTTGCAAGTTACAAATTCAGACAGGACTAAAATCCAGGGGCTCTCCTCAGTTGCTTTCTCTTATACTCAGCAGTCATACCCTCCAACAGTTTGCAAACTGGTGCAGCAGATACTCCTCAAAATAGTGGCTCGGAATTTCTCCACACTTCAATGCCATATTGAGTAGATAATTTTGACTAAAACCAGGAGAGAAGGTGCTAGTGTACAAAATCCCTTGAACTCCATTAAGACTCTCACGTCTTGCATTATATTATTTGCATGACATTTTAATGACTTTATTTTTTAAAAGTTTTCTCCATAATAATATTGATAATTACTACCATTGATCGAATACCAACTGAATGCCATGCATTATAATAGGTGTTAAACATTTATGATCTTATTTTATCCTTAGAGGAACCCATCAAATGGGTATTTTTATTCCCTTTTAGACGATGGAGAAACTTAGTCTCAAGGAGTCTAAGTCATTTGCCCAAGTTCGGGTTGTTTATAACGGATAGAGCTGGATTCAAAGACAGAACCATTTGACTCCGAGGCCCCATCACTTTCTCGTGTGCCATGATGCTCTCTTCTCTAGAGGAAATGAGCACAATCTTGGGTTCCCATATTCCAGCCTAGGCTATGGCCATCCTCACCTGCTAAAATCCTACCCATCCTTCAAAACTTACCTCAACCCCGACCTCTTTCATAACAATAATACAAGCTCACATTCATTAACTGCTTATATCCAAGGCGCTATTATAAGTGCTTTACATGTATTATCTCATTTAATACTCATAGCATCCTTATGAGGTGGGTACTACTATTACACGCATCTTACAGATGAGGAAACTGAGGCCCAAGAAGAATGAGTAATTTGCCTTTTCAGCTTTCCCCACTAGCACGTGGCCTCTGCCTCCCTCCTCCCTGCCTCCAAGACCCTCTGTAGCTCTTTATGGCCCTTCTCTGCCTTGTATTAGTTATGCATTAATGGTACTCATCTGTGTCCCCACTCCTTGAGAGCAGAGATATGCTTGTATTAGTTTTGGTGTGTGTTGACCATCTGGCTCCATCCTCTGCCCCTTATTAGACATACCGGATTTATTTATTTAATTGAATGAGACAGTCACATGTATTGCTGAGCTGGGTCTAAGTAGTCAAAAATAAAAAGAGTTTTCCATTGGAAAAGAAATTTGAGTCTCACTGAAATTCTCAAATATTTTCCATTCGTGAATCCTTTCTGGAGTGTTGGCTAAGAACCATGATAATCATCATAACAATACATAGTCTCTGAAACGGAATTTTTGGTAGAACTTTGGGAAGAGAGTATCAAGTCAAGTGCCTATTTCCTACTGAATCATTTAAAGGGTTGCCAGAATAGGAGTCCTGAACAGTGAAGAATACTATGGGGTTTTTTCCTTCATTTTTTTGTATTGATTTTCCAGACGCTTTAGTGTTAAACCATGCCAGAAGTGTTGCAGAGATGAATCACTATTATCCAAAGGCCACCAGCCTCTTTTCCTTCTGACAGAAGGATAATTCCACGTGGATCAAATAAATACAGATGCGTAGTAATTAGTTCTATTCCCAGCGAGCCTATTTCCAACACACTAAAGATGTGAGTGATTATGGAACCTCACCCCAACAGCTTCTATCAATTTAAACTGCTAAACAACGGGATAGTTCATAACCCAGCCTGTTATTAATAATGCATTTATTGTGCGTAACATTATAAATTAGGTGTGTGGACCAGAAAAAGAACACCTTTTAACAAGAATAATATGATCTCCCCCCAGAAGCAGCATATGTGCCTGGCCACTCACCTGATGTACAGTCCCAAGGCAATCAAAAGAATAAAAAATCTCATCCAAGGAACAGAAGCCTACATTGTCAGCGGGCTCCTCCACAGAGATGATTTAGCTGTGGCGGATATGTTAGATGTACCCATCCTGGGCCCAGAGCCTGAACTAGCTCATGTCTATAGTACCAAGTCCGGAAGTAAACGGGTCTTTGAAAGCGCCAATGTGCCAGTCCCTCCTGGAATATATGACGTCTATAGTCACCAGCAGGTATGCAGGGTGGACAGGCGAGGCTCTGTTTAAATATTTCACATTCTCTTGACCTTACGGGAACTTTAGGTCTTCTGGTGTCAGCCCTACCCAATGAAGAATATTGTGGAATACTTGAGTTGAGTTGATGGGATCTACTTTAGGCCTTCATGTTTCAAAGCGTCTTCCTAGGGGCCTTACAGAAATTGTAATTCCCAAAGTATTTCTTCATTTGGATTAAGGAACTGAAGGCCCTATTCATATACTAATCTGCTATCAATATTTATTGACTTAACATGGATTAATTCATCAACATATTAGTTAGCAGGACCCTAAGAAATGTGAGAGTAAATTTTGGCTAAAAGGAGCAAGTTTGGAAAGCTCCAGGGAGTGAGCCCTTTCTGCTGAGTCATGTTGCAAAGGGCATGTGGCAGAGGGCTGCAGATATCTGTGGCTCTGTAAAAAAAAAAAAAATCCCAGCTCCTCAGGAAGTGGCCATATAGGAAGGAGGGGGGAAAATTCCAGAAAGGGGAAGTAAAATGGCTCTAGGAGGAAAACTATCTGCTTCTGGGTTTTGCCTTGGTCCGAGTCTATGGCTATGCCTTCTTCCAGCAGATAGTTAGGGCCCTAACTATCTGGAGAACTATTATATAATATTAGTCACTACAAATGTAGCCACTAGAGAACTAGTAATTAGCCACTTTGAGTTAGCTCTGGCAGGTGTTCTCCCATTTAACTATTTTTTTTCACAATAAAGAAAATAAAGAACAAATGGCTGTTAACATTTCCTAACCTCTGTTTCAATACATCTCTTAACCATTACTCTGAGCCAATCACAAGTGATTCCGGGCAGCCACTTCTAGGGAAACTAAAGAACTGTACACAATGAGGATGTTTGTAAGGGACAATATTTAGGGATCACGCTTCTTCTCTCAGTTGCCTGATCCTGATGCTCTGCACCTCATAGCCGCTGAGCCCCAAAATCAAGCTTTTCAACAAATCATACTTTTCAGAGACTAATTTGAAAATTTAGCTTATTAAATTGCCCCAAAAGTGTTTCAGTCTTGCTAGATAGAGTGTCCTTGGGCAATACATGGGCTCATGAAGGAAGTTCCTCTTAAAGATGGCAGCGTCTAGAAAAGGCACAGGCAATCTTAATAGGATTAAAAGAGAGGGGCTCCTCCTAACCTGGCATGTCCCTTCCATTGTCATTAACCTCCACTGGAATTTGAAGGTAACAGAGTGGATTGCTTAACTCTGCT